AAAAAACCCCAAACAAACCAATTTGTGCATATGGAAGTCAGCCGCAGGAAAAAAAAATTCCCCGCTTTAAGTTGTTTCGCTATAAATCCAAGTTTTTTGGAATGTATCTTGGACTTATGGCGAGGATGGCCTGTACACACCAAGGAAAGATTATGACTGGTAACCCTGCAGACAAAGGCACCGCCAAGGAAAGGTGACTGGTAACCCTGCAGACAAAGGCACCCATTTCCCCTCTAGCTGGGAAGGGAGAGGGGGGCACTCCAGACCCCATCCCCCAGACTCACCCTCAGCCTGCCTTTTCCTGCTGCCTCTCCACCCTTGCCCACCACCCCAATTCCACCCCTTGTCCAAGTCCCTGCCCCACCTCCTTCCTGGAGCGCACTACATCCCCACTCCTTCGCCTCCCTTCCAGAGCATCCTAAACCCTGCACAGTAGCTGTTTTGCATTGGGGTGGAGGGGGGGAGAGGGGAGAATTTGGTTGCCAGTGGATGCTGAGCATATGCTTATTTTTCCCTGTAGGTGCTTGAACCCCAGAGCACCCATGGGATCTGCACCAGTGCTTGCAGGTGCCCCACACTATCTGCCCTCAGCCACTGTTCTGCCTGCCCACTCTGGGGTTAGTTGTCCCTCATCCACTATAAAAGAGATGGGGGTGGGATGCTATTTGTGAGGAAACCACTGTGAGGAATTTTTCACCCTCATTGCCTTGAATCATTCCTAGTGATGGTAGTGGAGGGGGGTTTGGAGCAAATGGACAATGTGGATCTCCCCTGCCCCTTCCCTGATTTCAGCCCCCCCTATCCACACACAGGCTGCACAGAGAGCCCTCCGCAGGATTCAGGAGGAGGCTACAGATGCATCAGGAATGCATCCAATAGGAGTCATGGTCCACAGAAGACCCTTTCTGGAGCAGAGCTCATCCATCCACTGGAATGAAAACTACTAGGGTGAGATGGCAGGAAAATTAACTAACTCTGTATGCTCTGGGACAAAGAGAAGCCTGTTCTTAAACCTGCTCCCTTTTGTTGGCCCTAACTAATAGCAGGTAACTCGCTGACTTGTTTGTTTTGTAGCTTGCCATATTCCGTCTCAGCTGAGTTCATGAGATATGTTTGGGGTGTAATCATGTTTTTTGAAGGAGTGCTGTTCCCAGTCTTACACCCAAGTAGTGAGGGACGCCATGGAGGTGGAAGGTTTGGGAGATTCCTTCTCACCCCTTACCCAAGGAAACTCCTTTCCAAGGTAGTATCTATGTTCCCGCTTTAACCTAATTTTCTAGCTGGGCTTGAGGGAGGTACTGGACGGTACCTAAGAGTATGAGCTAACTTAACTTACAACTGAAGATCCACCTGGCTTCCGGACTGTGTAGCAGTCCTAAGCTCAAGTGGCCAGGGATAATACACCCAGCCAATAGGGCTAATCTTATTATTTTTACTTTGTTTTATAATAATAAAATCAGATGGAAAAGGCCTAGTCCATCTCACTGTGGCCAGTGCAGCCCTGTTTCCTGCTATGCATTTTCTAGTATCTTGTCCAGTGTACAGTTTTGAAGATGACCTTCACAGGAATTTTTTTTTAAATTGAACTTGTGCCTTCTTTACTTCTTTGTGATGCATAAAGAGAGCCTGAGAGGACTTTAATTTTTTTTTCTGTTTACTTTAGAAATATCGGGAATGCCCACTGTGATCTTACCTGGCATTGTTAGATCAGTGAGGAGGTATGGTGGGTTTTCTTTCTGAGCTTTAAATCCCTTTAGTGAAAATATGAGGATGTTGAATAAAGACAGCCTTTAGATTCAAAATATTAATTGGCCATTGACTCTGCATAGATGATAACAAAAGCAAATAAAAACCCAAGGAAAACAGTCTGAACACAATTCCTTTCCTTTTTGAAACCCAGCTTTCATGCTGTTTATGAGATCACCATTTCATTGGTCCTTCAGTTATCCTAGTCTCCCAGCCTACACAGAACCTGAATTTCTAATGCAGGGGAGCAAGCAGAAAAAACGTTGTAAAGAGCAAAACAAGCCTTTAAGGCCTTCTTTGTACAGCATATAATAAAGAAGGAAACAAGGGGATAAGCCCAATTTATTTTGCAGGTGACCTTTAAAAGCCCCATACAGTGGGAATTTCACCATAATAAGCCTTTGGGAACTAAAATCTATTTCCGTATCAAAATGTTTAGACTCTGCTTGTTCATAACTTCATAAGTTTGGGGCTGTGGATATTTGGTTTCTTGCTTTTGGGGTTATTTAATAGGGCAGAACTGCTGATGTCAATTGAATTTAAAAGGAAATATTGGGGTGTTCTTAAAAGCTAAAAAGGAATCTTGCTAACTCTGCAAACAGATGACAGTTCTGAGGGTCTCTTGCTCTCAGTGGTGTAGCTCCCCTTTACAGAAAGGGAAACATATGAGTGGGAAAAGACAACTGGTATGTGTCCCCCTTTGGAGGTCTAGGAAGGGCATCCCACTGAAGTGGTGATAAGATTAGTTTAATTTAATAACCCTTCATCCAGGCTTCTCCTTGCATACCCTACCCCCTTCCTATTAATCCTTCTCTCTCTTTCTGTCTCTAAACTGCTGTTGAGGGGAGTGGGGAATTGTAGTCCCTTAAATCGCATCCAATGGCTCGACCTGGCAGTGGCTGCGGTTGCTAAATCAGCCAGCTGAGCACCTGCTGTCTTGAAGCTAACAGAATTGAATAGTGTGCTAGTCATTTTTAAAGTGATATTGTCAAGGTAAAAATGTGTGTGTGTGTGTGTGTGTATATATATATATAATTTAAATCAGTCCTCCTTTGAGTTATTGAATAGTACATTAGATTAGTAAAACCAAAGGCAACTTTAAAAATTCTATTTAGGTTTCACCATAGCTGGAGGGATGGCCTCCAGCATCAAGTATGAGTCACCTAGAGACTTCCTGCAACCACAATGTTGAATCCCAGCAGGCTTGACTTGGTCCTGCATCCCGAGGTCAATAAATTGACTTCCATGCAGCTTATTATGCGGGGATTTTTCCTGTGTGACCTTATTAAAAACTGAAGTCCTCTGTGGACACGAAAAATCCAATGGGAGTTTTCATAAGTGTAGGGGTTTTTTGCAGAGTTTGTGGCAAAAACCTCTCCCCCTTCTGAGAGTGCCATATGCATATTTGTCTGTATCAAGTCCAAGATGTGACGGCACAGCATTGCTGACTGAAGTGATTAAGGCTTTAAAAATGTACCTAACATCAACTAGTCCAAGAACTAAGGCAGATGGTCAGAGAGAGAGAAAAAGCTATGGCACCATGTCCCTGCAGTTCACAAGAACAAATAGTTGTGTACTGTGCTTAATTGTAATATATTGCAAGTCAACTTCCTGCTTAATAATAGTAAAAAACCCACTCACTACATCTCTCCTGCTCTGGTTAGACCTACTGTCATATTCTGGCTTCAGTCCATTTTTCCTTACCATGGTGCCTCTTTTTATGAATTGCTATCAGTGTCTGTTTCCTCTGTCTCTCCTCTTTGTTAACTTATCCCATTGTTCCTTCTCTGTCCCCACCAAGCCACTTAGGCATAGCATTTAGAAGTGTTACTAATATTTAATGTCTACAGGACTAAACTGACTAATCAAAGGTTGATCGGAAAAGTGGGGGTGTGACCCACAATGCCCAAGTAAGACACTAACTCCTCCCTTCCCATCAGCTGTCTGGAAAGAGAGTTCAGGGTATTTTACTAGAGTGCTCTCCTTGGAGCCCACCTAGAGAGTCTTATTTGTCAAATTGCTTCCAACTAGAAGTGTCAGAAAAAAATGGAAGGGCCTTCTCTGTGCAGACAAAGAACACTCTCTCTTTCCATTTTTTTGCCTCCTTGCACTCCAGAGTATCGATGCACAGATGAGTAGTAGTTCTTTGTTACTCTACCCCAGCACAGCTTCTGGTTTTGGATGCTTATCTTATCCCCAGTAAATAGGGAGAAGAAAGATGCTCTTGTGGTTAGGGCACTAGCTTGGGACATGAGACTGGTTCAATTTTCTGCTCTGTCAGAGGCTTCCTATGTGACCTTGGGCAAGTTATTTGGTCTGCTGCACTCAGTGCCACCCATTGGGAATAGCAAATTGAGCTACCGTTCTGGGCCCTGCACTTTGGAGGTCACCCCTTCGCACTTGCCTTGGGGAAGCAGAGCACACTTGATGAACACACTTGCTCCACTTCCCCTGCTACCTGCCAGGACAGCAGTAGCAGTCAAGCCCTCCACATTTCCCAAGGCCACGTCCCTGGGGGTACAGGGTGCTATGGGGTGAGGGTGGGGGGCAGGATTTGGGGGATGGGTTTGAACATTCCCCCTCCTTGGGCAAATTTGCTTCAGCCTGTAGATGGCCTGCAGGCTGGGAGTTTTAGACCACTGCCGCAATGCCTCCTGCCTGCTGGCATGCCCTGCAAATCAGTGCCTTCCCCTCCCTCCCAGTGCCTGCCATGGATCCGCTGTTTTGCAACATCAGGAGATGCTAGGGTGAGGGGAGCAAGGGAGCAGCGTGCTTGGAGGAGAGAGTAGAACTGGGCAGGAAGAGGTGGGGCAGGAAGAAGTAGGAGGCATGGGGGAAAGAGGTGGCCTGGGAGAGGGCCTTAGTGGAACAGGAGGGGAACACAGTCTGGCAGATGAGAAATACAGCTGATTTGTCCTGGCCCCACATCCTCCTAGGGGATAATACTATTGAGGGGTGTTGTGGGGGTTATTAAAGTTACTTTGGTAAAGGGGGACACAAGATAGCTCTGGTGCTGCCTCTGCTGTTGCTCAGAGCTTCCCAAGAAGCAGCAAAGTGAAGCTGTCTGTTTTCAGTCTCACTGTTGCATGTAGGATTCTGAAGAGCAGCAATGAAAAACTGATAAATGGCCAATTCTCACTCAATTGCAGCTTGGGGAGACTGAGGAGCAGAAGCACTGGGGCTGTCTATCTGGAGACTCAGGAAGACGGTGCTGTATCAGTTTATGCTTAATTCACTTTGTATTTTTTTTCCAGAAATGGAAGCTGAGGTTTGGTAGAAGCTGATGTCAGTGGCATAAGAAATCTCCCTCCTCTTCGTAGGGCAAGTGGAATTTCCAAGTCTTAGTTTCCTCCATATATATTGTTTATAAAGTATGCTGGGATCCGCCAAGATGAAAAGTGCAATAGAAATGTAAGATACTACAGTTATATATATGTTTCTATTTTTGCTCTGTAGCCAGTTTGGCAAGTGAAAGTAGTCTCATCATTTTCATATGAGTAGCACGTAATACTAGCATCATGGTTTTTGCATTGTTTTTTTACAACACTGAAATCAGAATCTTTTTTAAATGACTGAAAAATATAATGAAAGTGCATATATTTGTCTTTGGTAAGATCTTTTCTCCTGTTGCAGAATAATGGGCCTAAACTAATAGATAGTTACATGACTCTTTTAAATATCCACTGCTTAGCGTCTGAGGAGCAGAGGTGAAGAGATCTTGCAGGAATAAAGCTCATGTTTGGGGTTCCCCTGTGATTCTGCAGCAATAGCTCATTGACTGACCCTGTTAGCCGAGCTATTCTGTCATCGCTGATGATTCAGGTGTGCAGATACAGAAGTGGACTAAACAAATAACGTTAAGCTAGGGGACATGGTGTGAATATAGCCATAATTGCCAAATGGAGAACAGGAAAATTAAGGAGGAGATGGGAGGGAACTCTCATGTGGCCCAAGGATAAAAATATCCATGCTACAATTTCCAGCATAGCAGCAGCCCTGGGAATTATAGGTCTGAAAAAAATTCTAATATTAGGCAAGGTCCTGTAGCAGGGTTGGTGTCTTAATAAGGGACACATCTGAATCTCTTGTGAACCAATCCATCAACGTGGTACTTTGGATGGGCAGGGGGTGAGGGCATTGTACTATTTATGGTACCATTTTATGGATGAGATGTAAAATCAAGGGCTTGGTCACTTGATTGTTGGGGATCCCACTTCCCTTTTCACAAGTGACCCCTAAGTTCTGGCCAGGTTCTAATTAATTATTTTCTCCCAGTCTAAAATGCCCCCTGCAGTTTTTATTAGAGAAGTTGTTTTTCACTTCCCCTTCTAATCATTTGTGTGTAATGTTGCTGGCACAGGATTGACGCATCCTTTCAACACAGAGACGAGGGGAGTGATTTCTTTATATTCAGTCTTTGGGTGAAACAACTGCTATAGCAACATCAAGAGATTGTTCTATTATAATCCAACAAAACCCTGTTCCTGTTGTTCCTTTCAGCTGCTGTTTCAGAGCAGGTCCCCCCTATATCTCCCAAATCAGAAGGGTGTGTGTATATGTCAGTCTGTTTCTGTCTCCGCCCCCCCCCCCCCAGAATGAGAAGAATATGTCAAGCTCTCTGGCTGGGAGCCAGGACTCTCTGTGGAACTGTAAATCGACCTGCTGGGGGGGGGAGGGAGATTAACGTTGGCCGTCTTCATTAGTGGGTCCCCTGAGGAAACTGGGTCTGCCATGAGCTGTGAATGAGACCAGCTGAGAGAAAGGGGAATTTGCGGTTTTTATCACTCCCCTCAGAGACCCCCTGAGGAGCGAGGGGTGGGGGGAAGAGAGAGTAATAAGAATGGGAGGATATAAAATGATGGAAGCTGGAGCTTTGCAGCAGAGCCCTTGCTGCCTTCTGATTGGAGAAAAGGGTAGCTGGTTGCTGTTCCTCCGTACCAATCAGTGACCTGCATGCCTATGTGTGCAGTTCGAGTATTTAGCATGCTAATTGGGAGCAGAGAGGAGCTGGCCCAGTGGCAGTGCAGTGCCCTGCCATGCTAAACAAGTACTAGTAATTGCAGCGAAGAGACCTCCATTATATAGGTTTTTAACAAAACCAGAAAGGAACATTTATCACAAACAGCATAATTCTTCCTGGACAGGTTTTTTTTTTTTTTAAAATCCAGATAATTTTTCATACATTTTATTTCCTCGCCCACACGCAGATTTTATAAATAACCCTTTCAAGCGTCAAACAATCTGTTCCTCCCTCACCCTACCCCCTTTATTATACAGGTTTGTGCATGACACCACAAGCTTGCACTAGGAATGTAAGCAACTAGTCAGCTAGTTGACTTTCTGATAAGCAAAAGCTTATTGGATAGTCGACTAGTCCCTCGACTAGTCACTTCCCCACCCCCTTGCTGCCTCTATCAGAGACAGCAAGGTGAGGGGAAGAGCAGGAGCCGGTGCTGGGCAGAGCTGGCTTAAAAGCCAATTCCCCCAGCACTGTCTCTGTGGGTGATAGAAGGCTAGTAGGGATCGGGCACAAGCTGGGAATCAGCTGAATACATTTGAAAGGCGGGTGTGCAGCGGGGGAGACCCTGTGCAAGTCAGGAATCAGCTATTGACAGGCTCTTAATACATTTAAAAGGCAGAGCCACAGTGGGGTTAGTTCCCGAGCCAGCTGCGGCTCGCCCACTTATCAACTAATCGACTAGTTGATGGAAATTCCATCGACTAGTCAATTAGTTGATTAAACTAAATTTAACATCCCTAGCCTGCACGTGTGTATAGACACACACACATGTTAACTGTGGGTTGTAGGCAGCTCAGGAGCTTGGAGATTGGAACTGCAGCTGATACCACTTCAGATTTTCTGTTAAAGTCTGCAGAAAATTGAAATGTGATGAGGCTTCTACCAGTAAAATCTGGTTTAAACTGCACTCTCTCTCTCTTTTTTTTTCCCTTCTCAATGAGAGATACAGTCTTGATGGCTCTATACTACTGTTTTCTATTCTTGGAACAAGTATGATGTATGCATTGGCAATGCAATGCAAACTACTCACACCCCACTTCTGCCAGTATACCAAAACCCTGACTTGAGGGGACCTGCAGAGAGGGAGGTTTATTGACCCGTGTGATCTCTGTCACTTCTGTATTGTGATACGGGAGTCAGAGTCAATTGTACTGATAGTTCTTAATGACAGACCTGGCTCGGGAATGAACTGAGATCTGATATATTCCCCCCCCCCAAGATCTTTGAGGCAGGGAATTACTCCGGATTGAGGGATCTGAAGGACCAGAAGACTTATGTAGCTGTGCTGTGCAAGAGGCTGGCTGACTGACTGATCCCTGTGAGTCCAAAAAAAGCTAGCAAGTAGTTACATGGTCATCTCAGGTAGTTTCTTTGCTTTGTGGGAGCTGTAATCCCATCTCTCTCCACCTCATCCCGTACACATTGAATTTACCCCATCATCTTCCTGCCCCCAACAACAACAACAAGCTTACATTTGTATTGTTCCTTGAATCGCAAGCCCTTTGCAAACTACATTGATACAGTATCAGAGGGGTAGCCCTGTTAGTCTGGATCTACAAAAGTAACAAGGAGTCCTGTAGCACCTTGTAGACTAACAGATGCATGTATGACGAAGTGGGTCTTTGCCCACGAAAAGCTTATGCTCCAATATATCTGTTAGTCTATAAGGTGCTACAGGACTCCTTGGCGCTTTTACATTGATACAGAAATTAACTTCAGCCTTCACTGAAATGCAGACACCCCTGGGGTGGAATTCTAAAGGTTTCTGATCATTTTTAAGAAGTGTGCACAATACCATTTTGACGTGTATTCTATGTACTTTTACAAATGTTAAATCTCTTAATTCTCCTTTGTATGTATATATATATAACTCATTTTACTGGAGAGTAAAATAAAGTAGAGAGGGGTGAAGGTGAGGGTGGGGGGTTGTTTGTTTTTAATATTCAATCACAGTTACAAGATCTCTGACCCAAGGAGCATACAAGCCTACTTAGGCAAGTGAATAATGAGAAATGGCAACATTTTGGGAAGGAATGTATGTGTGAAGGCAGGAAGACAATAGAAAGCAGGAAAAGAGAATCTTCTGTTTGGAAGTATTATTTACAAAGAAAGCACTAATTGGTACTGAAAAGTGCTGTTCACTTATCACCTGGTGAGTCAGCAGCTGAACAGATGGTGGAAGACAGAAATTCTGCCTTCTAGTTCCCCATAGCAGCCGCTACTCTTTCCTTTTGAATAGCGCGTAACTAGGATTTGGCCATGACAAAAAGAGTTCATCTAACGAACACAAGTGAACAGAGTCTCAACTTCATATTTCAGAAGAAAGATTGTACCGTCAGCAATGCAGTGTCCCCAAAGCCACAGGTTCAGTATTAAGAAGGGCATATCAGTTGCTGAGGGTACCAAACCAAGCTTCCCACAGAATCTCGGTTTCGCTTAGAAGTCTCCAGTTCAAGTAATGACTGGACCTGACTCTACTTAGCTTGATGGCTGACAAGCAAAAAGCCCATTTTGGTTTGTGTCTGTCTGCTTGTGGCCAGTGAGGGTATGTCTAGACTACATGGCTCCGTCGACGGAGACATGTAGATTAGACAGATCGGCAGAGGGAATGAAGCCGCGATTAAAATAATCGCGGCTTCATTTAAATTTAAATGGCTGCCCCGCTCTGCCAATCAGCTGTTTGTCGGCAGATCGGGGCAGTCTGGACGCGCCGCTGTCGACAAGGAAGCCTTTGT